ACGCTCGAAACAATCGATTAATGTATCGTGATCGTGTGGAATTCGGGAAAGAGAATTACTTTTATTTCAGATTATGATCCGGTGAGTCACAAAATCTGGCAAATTCCGAAATCCGGTATATTCCGGATTCCGGTTGTTCCGGATACATGTAAATCCGGCAGAACCGGATTTCACCGGATAGTGCAAAATCCGGCGGAACCGGATTCCGGACCGGATTCCGGCACACCCCTACCCCTGTCCTACTGTAGGAGTTAAGCTCATTATTCGCAAAATGTGCCTACACCTATCTATAATAAGCACTGCTCTCTTTTTGAACTAACTAGAGTTAAATCATCCTATTTTGAACCAATTGCTCTTAAAACAATTTATTTCCTTTCCTTTTTTTTGAGCAGCTGTAGAGTCTGATGGTAAAAAACCCCTAGAAGTCAAATTTGAAAGTCAAGGTCCAGTCCTCACACACCTTAATGAAGCGGTCGGGTTTAAGTGCCAAATAAACCAAGATCCATTTTACGTCCTGAAGGCTAATGCTGAAATTTTTCAAGTGCATGATGGAAAAGAGGTAGTTCTTAATAATGGTGGCAAACTTGGAGATGGAGACCCAGATCATTATTATGCGAACATTGTTCCAGAAAAGGAAGATGAAGATTTACATCTAATCTTAAACATACTCAAAGGTATTTAAAAAAATAGATTCTATTGTTAAACTTTGGTATTTTTAAAATTATTTTGTCCAATTTTTAAAATCATCATTGTGAAATGTATATGCATACAAATAAATTATTTATACCAAGATTTTTAAATGTGTAAGTGTAAGCTGACATTTTCTTAAAATACACAGGGAAAATAGCCCAACTCATAAAATTTAAATAAATGAAAAGGATTTTAAATCACGAGATGTTGGTTTGAAGTATCGGTACTTCAATTTTAAAATTGTGTTTTAGCTGTCATATGATGCTAATTATAGTATTAATTTCAGTTAGGGATGAAGATGATGGGTTCCTTGTGTGTCGTGTTGAACATCAAGTTGAAAACGAGAGACAGGAAGATAAGATAGAAATTATAGTTCAAAGTAAGTTTTCAACGATTCAAATTTATTTTTTTTATGATCTATGTGGTGCTGGATCTAATTTTTATGGCCAACTGCTATTTTTTTACAAATCATTGTGACACCTAGAGCCATGAGTTACGTTAAATTGAAAATACATTTTGAAAATTTTTAAAGATTTAGCGACTTCACCTAAGAGGAGGCTGTCACTCCCATTTCCATAACCTAATTTGCATGAATGTATCTGAATTTGAATTTTTAAATTCTTCTTTCAAATAGGACCCCTTGAATCATTGAAGTTAAAAATCAATGACAGCGTAGTTGATAAAAGTATGTCGGAGAAACTGGAATTAGAATCTGGTTCATATGACATCAGCTGTATCGCAGAGGGCAGTAATCCTGCAACTACTGATGTCCATATATTTTTTGATGGAAATAAAGTCAATCACAAGGACCCAGTTTCAGAGCCTATTAAAGGGGGGCTTAGGAAGTACAGGTAGCCTACAATCTAATATGTTAAAGTTTCTCATAAAAATAATTAGATGGCAGCAAAAGAATTCAGCTAAGAATGGATTGGTTTCTGTCCTATTTGATTTCATATTAATTGCAACAGTTTTACTGAATGTACAAGTGAATATTTATGTGAATGAAATTATAAAATTGATATTTTGTGCACATTGTGAAACAAATTTGTTTGTCTCAAACATCATAAGTGACATAACTTTCCTTTTGTTTGAATTTTATTGTTGATTAAACAAATTGTATTTCTCAACAGAACAACTATTGACAGCCAGTTAAATTTAACAGCACCTAATAATGGAGCATTTTTGGAGTGCAATGCAAAGTCAAGCCTTGGTGACTCTTTAAGTGTTAAGTTCCCCATCATTGTCATAATGTGTAAGTATTGTGATTGTGAAATGAGCAGTTTTAAGCCAGTAGTATTCAAGAAATATTTGCACATGTATTAAGTTTCCCCCATCATTGTTTGAGTGTGTCAGTGTGGTAGTACAATTTTAGCACCTGGTATAACACCAGTAATATTTGGTTGGTTCGAGAAGTATTCAGGATAACAGGCATGTAGACACACACAGACACCTAGTCCCATATTATAATATTAATTTCATCCCTAGCATAATCTTTCTTTTTTAGATGAGCCAGAAATAGTCTGTAATGACACATACGCTTCTATTGGAGAGATTCATCATGTCCTGAAGTGTACTGTTTATCACCAACAAAGTAAACTCAAGTCCTTCAAATATTTTATTGATAATGTTGAAATTGAAGCTGGTGACCAGTCCAGTAGTTATGATGATGTTACAACAAAGGTAGAATTAAAATAAAAAGGAAATTTTATTTTATCAATATTTGTCACTTGTCAAATATAATATCTGCAAAGTTACTTATGAGTTTCTTTTGGGTAATATGGGCATTTTGGTAATTTAAATCTGTAGTGCTGACATTTTATTTCTCTGATAATAAACAAAGAATTTTGAGTTTTAAAGTGTTTATTTTGGGCACTGATATAATAATTTAATATTTTCATTATATTATTATTTCTAATTTATTACGAAATTGAACAGTTTCTCCCTTCTTCTTCAGAATATTTCACCTGACCAAACAGTTGTCGAGCTGAGGATAAACAAAGTGGTAGAATCCCATTTTGCTGCTAACTTTTACTTAGTCTTGGAGCATGTAGATAGGCATGTAACCAGGCACCCAGTCAAACTGCACAAGATTGAAGGTAATTTTAAAATTAAAATGATGTGTATGATGTGTCTTATATTCAGTCACCCAGAACAAATTATGCAACTATTTCGAGACTGTGGCATTTTTGGTAGTTAATGTTGTGGTTGTGCTAGGACCTTTTAATAGATTAAAACAAAAGGTTTTGATATGTGTAATTACAAATCAGACTATTTTTTTTTTCTCCACAAAGCTAATTTTCGTCTCGGACAAGCAAATTGTCCCCTCATATATTTTATAACCCCAAACCACTTACCCTTTAAGAAAAATATAAGAATGCTCCTAATGCAGATGCTAATATACGATACGAAAATCGCTGCACCGTAACTGGCTACATGGCTTTTGAACACGTTTCAACATCAGATGACAAGAGGGGCCCTTTTTGATTGGACTGAAGTAAACACAATCTTTTTTGAAAACTGAAATTCAGGATTATTGCTTGATAAAGGATGCAGCCCACTTCTTTATATTTTCAATAAGAAATATACACTGGGTAGAGAAAATCAATACAAAAGGTGTGGAACATTTGGCTAAAAAAAAACTTTGCGGTGTCCACCCTGTATTGTATTTCCACTACATTTTCAGTTAGTTATTAACATTTTGAAATGTAAACTCAAATAACTCAGTTTTAAAAAAAATGTAATAACCTGTGATTCAGCACAAATTTATGGGGGACTGGAACCAGATTGAAATTTAGGTGTCGTGTGCAGATCTGTGTGGTACTTAATAAAAAGTTGAAGTTGTTTGTCCAGATGTCCAACCTAATTGGTAGAAATATTGACCAAAGGGTGCACTTTTAACACATCTAAATAAGACTAGCATGCTCTTACTTAAAGGATAGTATATGAAGGACCTCATTCAAGCCGTGTGAAGGAGATAGCTGAATAAGAAATGAAATTAAGTGTCCTGTCTTTTCAGTTCAAGAGTGCAAATAAAAAGCAAACAACTGTTTATGTAGAAGTCACTGTTTCAAAACAGAAGGCATACAATATACAATTTTGATTTTATTACAAACCTAACAGAATTTAAAAAATCCACTGAAATCAATTATTCAAGTTGAAAACATGGAGACCCCTGTGCAGACACCAATACTTACAATACTTAATATATGCCATTACCGTGTAGCCACAGTGTAAGGACCTATATTTCAATACTGCTAAGCCACGTTCATCTTATAGTATGTGCATTCATGTATTGGCTTGTAAAAGATGCATACAATGAAAATAAGCATTCTTCTCATCTTAATTTCTAATACAGCAACACTCCCTGCCCTTTTTAATACATGTCCATTGCAGCTTCATTCTGTCAACTGATTTTTAATTTTATTTTGAACTCTGGACTTCTTCATCCTTCTTAGTTCCCCTGATACCTTTGTAAGGTTATATTGATCTTCAGTGATCCCATTACTGATTGGTTTTTATTTCAACAAATGGATAACATGTCTTTGGTAATGGATTTCTTTTTTTACAGAGAATCATGTTGAAGCAGATGTTGGAGGTATTCAGTTATGTTGATCTTTTTGTTGATTAATATTTGAATGATTTTGACCAATATTTCGGATAGAGAAATAACTTTTCAGAATATCATACCTAATATATTAGAGAATACCAAGTTATTTTAAAAAATTCTCCTCCCATTTCCCCTTACAATAAGCAAAGGAAATTCCATATATTTATTTGAGGATATCAAGTTTTTATTGCAACAACCCCTCCCCTTTCCCCCAACAAGAAACCCCCCAAAAAATTCCATTGTCTTAATTTTCCTTTTTTCCCCTCCCCCTTAAGTTCTAATGGTGCATGTATCCAGGGTTTGCATGGCATGTCACTAACTGTTATTGTTCTGATTTCAACCAGCATGAACATTTTGTTTTGTCAGTGGATATTTTCCAGGAAAAAATATTTAAAATATGAAATTTTATCTTTTGAGCCTATTGCTATTGTGGAAGTATGCTACAACTCCCAACTAGGGTGTAAAAAAATTTTTTTTTAATTTAAAAAAAAAAGGCATCAACAATAACGAGGACAAGGTTGCCACCGTACAACTTCATGGAAATAGTTATTCTTTTTTTTAAATACCTTTTTTTCTTTCCCGATACATCAATTCGTTCATTGAGATTGGGTTTTCTTTGTTATGAAAAATACTGCTAGGTTTTCTAACCTTCCTTTGCCTGCTTTTCATGATTGCTCTTGTTACAGGTGGTTTGAATCATACAAGTATAATTAAATTTTTATTTTCAAAATGTCTTATTCTCTAGGATCGGGACGACTAAGAGGTATTATGTGTGACCTTCTCTTCAAATAGTTGAATAGTTTTATAATGCCAGAAGACTAATCATTTTTCTTTTAATCAAAGCCTATTTTTGCCCTCATCCAGTCAAAAATTTTGAGCAGTACTAATTTTTAAAATCTCACACTTAACAAATAATCTAATTAAATGCTAACATTTTAAGTCTTTTATTTCCTTAGTCTTTCTCTATAACCTCTATTTTTTAAAATAAAAATCTTTTATGCTAGTGATTATTAAAGCGTTAATACATCCACCTTGACTTTATTTTTATCAGCACATTTTTTAAATAAGTTTTGGAATTTCACAACAGTACTGCCAGATCCTGAGATGGAGCTAATTTAAATCTAACATTCATGAATACTTGTTCAAGTTGGCCAATTCTCCGCCACTTTGAAAAAAAGTTGAATTTTAAAATTATTTGCTCTTTCCCCCCACCCTGTGTTTATTAAATTATTCTTCAAAGAAGATGTTTTTAAGCTTCCATCTGAACTTTTTTTTGTAAGGATTGCATGTTCAATTAAATAGTGAAAACTTAAAACAATGCCTTAAATTATATTATGTTTAATATTAAACTTCAACACATTTTCAACCTGAACAGGGAATTTTCATTAGTCTACCAGATTTTAAAATTTAAGGTGTTAACTTTTATGGATATCTTAAAAAATGTACATTAGTTTAAAAGGGGGAATAAACTACATGTATTTTAAAATCATTCTGATTACAATTTTGTTCAGGTTTTGTTTCATAAATTTGCATTACCCATATGAATCACACATAATTATGGTTGTATTTTGTAAAACAATTTTGGACTCATTTATGATCATGAGATGCCGAGTTTAGTAATTATGAATTATCAAATTTCCACTCTTGGTGGCTTTATTAGAGTTCTTGTTCAATGAACATAAATATTTGCATTTGATATCTCAATTAACCAAAAGTTTGTGATTGTAATTAGAAATATATATGGCTGACAGTCAGGAACATACCTTCTCAACATTTGATCATGTTGTCAGTCATATTTACTCTGGCATTCACATTAGCAAACATAATTTACATTATTTGATTAGTTTGATAATTTTCTTCATTTTTAAAACCAATAACAAAATCATCCCACAAAAAGGCCAATATTTATGAATTATGTTTGTTAATGATACAATAATGACTTGAGTATTATACTACAAGTAATTTTTAGAAACTGTATTATCCATTGCTACTTCAATATTTTGTTTATTTGAGGAATTTGTTAACATATTATTTTGTATGGTATTATATTTAATTTAAAAAAAAAAAATTATCCGTATGCAAAATTTAAGGGCTAAAAATAAGTAAAAAACTTAGTACAACAATTTTTATTGGTTTCTTTTCAGGTGAAGGAGGCAACTCAAGTGTGTTTTTGTTTGCATCCTTGGCGACAGTTATTCTATGTGTTACCTCTGCGACACTCTCCTGGATTTAGAATATGATGCTATGGTGGTGTTAGTAAAATGTTTTTAAATTGAATGTGAAAGCAGTGTGCATGACATCTTCTGCTAGGATTTAGTTATTAAATTTATTTAGAAATTTTGCGCCCTGGTGTTGTAGGGGCAACACAACCTACCGACCAGAAGCTCCTTGGTTGAGATTGCCCCACTTGGTTTGGTAAATCAATCGGATGGGCCTGTCTCAGCGGCGGAGTGCTTCCGGCATGCTGCTTTGCGGTCGAATGATTGTGCTAGTCGGGTGGGTGGGGGTGGGAGAGTACGCTGGGGAGGGCCTAGTTAGCTTTTGTCTCTACAACTTCCTGTTTTTGTTAAATTTAATATCTTTTATTGTTAGCTCACATTGAGATCAGTTTGGATAGTCAAGTCTTTGTTCTTGTGTTTGTTAAAGATTGTGATGTGTTGCTAGTTTGAAACAATGACACTTTTGCAGTTACATCCACCTTTAATACTGCAAATCAAAAGAATCAACAATGCTAGTATAATTTTTAGAGTTGTTTAAACTAAAGGTCAATATTTTGAGTTAAATTTTTAACGGATGAACATTGGTCAGACAATATTGAAATGGCTCAAGCAGTCCTTTAAATGACCGATTTAAGCAATCACTATGTACATATTTACATTCCAGGGTGTGGCGTGCATACCACGCCCATCCCCCACCCATAAGTTATCGAAAAAACAATTTTAAAAGGCTGTTTGAAATAATTTTTATTCTAGCTGGTAATATTCACCTCTCCCCTCATTGTTCAGAGATCAAATTTAGATAAATGTATGTACCTACTGACACTATGCATCAATCTCATGTAAATTATGAATGTCTGAAGTGAATGGGATGAATATTTTTTTGAAAGCTATAGACATTTTCTAAATATTATTTTCTTATCAATCATTAATAATTCAAGTAATTTTGCTATGTATTTTCATTTTGTTGTAAAAAATTTTTTAACCGGTTCAAGATCAAAGTAATAGTAATAGGCATTCCTGTTTTTATATTGAAGTTTGTGGCAGTTATAAACTTATTAATTCATTAATGTATATTAAATTATAATTACATATTCAGAAATCATAGTTTTGAAACATTTTGATGGAATGTATTTTTTGGATCTAGTGTTGCACTGAAAGAAGCATTGAGTGACACATGGCAAATGTTCTGTAACTTTTGTATACGCCTGTGAGTCACTTCTTTTGGTCAGTTTCATTTTGGATTATATGTTTTTTTAATAATTACTTGGTATTTTGACTGTCAGAAAAGGATGTAGTTAGCTTAGTATAAATTTAATTTAAATCAGCTCATTGTTAATTCTATTATATTGTACTTAATGCTTCTATTTATGCTTCTATTATTTCTTCTACAATGCAGTTTATTTAAGTAATTTGCTTTATAGAAGTGAACACCTTCTAACGTTAAATATAAACCTTTTTTATTTGTGCGCATGCAGCCTAAAATTGAAATGTATATGGAAAATTACGGAAACAATTTGCTTGCTGAGGGTCCTTAATTTCTTAAAAAGAATTATCTGCACTGTAAAAATTAAAGCAAGGCAACAGTAGCCTGTTTTAGTTCAGTGCTGTTTAGTTGTTGGAAATTAATTCATTTTCCTTAAAGAATTTTTTTTTTTTCAAATCTGAGGCTCCTTAAATTTTTTTGTTTTGTAAGCATGATAAATGTTGGACTTATTTTTAAAGGCATCCCATCAATCTAAAATACTTTGCATTTAAATGACCTAACTTGATTAAAAATGTGAATATAAATGAAATTTTCTTGTATATAGTGGTTACTAAAATCTAATGAAATCACTTTTTACTTTCTTCTTCCCGTTTCATAATTATTTTTAAAAAATATTTTAATCAGGGTAATGAAAGCTGCATTTTCTGTAACAAGAATCCATCCTATAAAGTTTGAAATGGGTTTTACCAATCTACCTTGATTTATCAATTAGTTAACTGAAATAATGAGTTTATTAAACATATAAACTATTCAAAATTAGCATTGGAAACAGAATAAACTTAACATTTTATTTTTAATCTAATAAGCAGCATGCTACTACGGTACATTTAATTTTAAATGTGTGCTAAAACATAATTTTCTTGTACAAGTATATTAAGATTTAATTACCGGTACTGTAAGATGTTGCACAATAATTCATTTAAAACTATTCTCTTATTTTGGCCTAGTTGGACATCACTTAACATCAATGGATTAGCAAATAATTGCAATGATGAAGTCATTTTAAATATTTTATGTGCCTGCTGTTTTTCTGTTATGAGTGTGTATGGAAAACCATGAGCCTTGAAACTGAGTTCTAGTTATATATATATATATTTTATTCTGTTTTTTAAACATTAAAATTGTTATTAAAATTTATTGAACGCTTTGTATGTTATGCTGGTAGTCCTATTTTACGTTGAGAGTCAAAGTTTGGCTGATTAGATGTTACTGACTGTACTGCACTCACTAATTAATTAGCACATGTCTAGACTGATACCAGATTTCTCAAACAAATGCTTTAAGGGCTTTTTTTGATGGAAACTGAAAATAGTATATATGTATCAACAGTTAATGAAATAGTCAAACAAGGTATGTTCTACTATTTCATTTACACAGCTTGAATGCAGACCTTCAATTATTATCAACAGTTAACCAACCTGCTTAAGTAGCATGAGTGCCAGGTTGAAAAATAAATCACGATTGCCTCGTGGGTAGGCTATAGCCTGCTGTTCTATCACCACTAATCAATATGCACCTAAACTGGTTGGAAAGCTTCCAACGTCACTTTATTTTCATAATACAAGGCCTGAAATCCACCCATTTGGGCTTTGGGCTGCCTCACCACTTCCTTCCACTCAGATCTAAATGATGCTTTTCTTTTCCATGCTTGGGATTCCCAGCTGCTGTAGTTCTTTTTCCACATCCATCCATCTAAGCCTAGGTCTGCGTTTGAGCCATTTTGGTGATGTACCCTCTTCACTCTGTCATTTGGCATTCTTTCCAAGTGTCCAGCCCAGTGTAGCCTACCCTTTTTGCTACTAGCATGAGATCCTGATATAGTCTATATAATTCCTGGTTGGTTTTTATTCTCTATCCATATTCATCCTTTTTTGGTCTATATATTTTCCAGATAACTTTTCTCTCCAATGTGTTAATAGGTTTTCAGATGTTTTTGTCAGGGTCCAAGTTTCACTTGAGATGTTTCAACTGGTCTGATTACAGTTTTATAAATAGTTTTCTTTGTTTTTCTTGTAATGTTTTTATTTTTGAGTATTTTCTGACTACTAAAGTATGCCCTGTTTCTGGCTGATTTACTTCCTTTTATTTCTGCGTTGAATCTTAAATTATATTTGTTTTAATTTAAAATTATTTTTGGAAAGTCAAAATTACATAAATAAAATCTTCAAACCAGAAATAATGATGTAACATTCCTGCTAAAAATAAAAATCTGAAATTACATTCATTCCAACAGGTCAGCTAATGATAAAAAAAATCTCATGATCTACACAAATATCTAAGAGATGCAATTCTGGGGACCAATACTGATTTATTATAAAATATAACTTTGAACAGCAGAGAAAAATCAAAATTTAATTAGATGTTAGCTTAGTGGAGCAATGTTTACAAAAAGAAGCAAAGGATAGACACGATTAACTTAACTAACACATTTTCTGTTAAATTTCGTAAAATGAAAATATTGCAGAAAAATGAACCATAGTCTTTCTTGATTTTTCAGGCAGGCTACATATAAAACCAATATATAATCTATTTATTACAAAAGCTGCAACTATGCTATTGATTTTTGAAAGCATGTTATATCTAAGCATAGATTTTGGATTAACTTCTAGGCAAATATCTGCAACAATTTAGTGTTGGATTTGACAGCTAAGTATGTTCCTGTAATTTTTTTTTAAACAGAAAAATTTTGAAAAGAATGTAGCCCAAGAAAACTCAATTTTTTTAATCAGGAGGGATGACACATGCAAATTTTTAAAAGAGGTTATTTAAGTGAAATAATGCACTAACATGCTTACATTAATAAAAAAAAAATCAAAACAAAAGAAATATTATATGATTGTTATACCAGGTAATAATATATGGATATCTACTGATTGTGAACAAGTCTGTTTCCTACTAAGTCATTACAGAATTTGTTAGATAAAAAAAAGAAGATGTTAAGTCAGTGCTTGGGAATTTTGTGTCCCCACACATAGTTTTGTTATATTTCATTGTAAGTTTTAATTTTAATGAATCATGTTTGTGACAAAACATTCGTGAACTATTGATAGGGTTTATAAATATACCAAATAAAATTGTGTCTTGCTCACTTATTCTATTACACAACTAAGTCAAGATTAACTAAGAAGCTTTTGCTGTTTTCCCTGCATCAACTAAAGAAAAACTTTGATTAATTTATTCTTATTATTAAAAAATCCAGCTGTTGGCATTCCAGAGGTTTACAATTCAAAAATAATTAAACTTAATTTTTTTTGAATCTTTTTGCTGCATTACTCCTAACACAAGCTAAACATTTGATAAACAGGTAAAAACGCAGGTAAAAACGAGAGGGGAAGAAAATAATATGTTAATTAATATTTAAATATATTTATACTTCCTTATGTTGTTTATCTTCTTTCTTATTATTTAAAAAGGAAATCTTTGTACTGTTATTAGTATTAGTAAATGAGAAACATAAAAAAAAAAAAAAATGATTGAAACCCAAATTAAAACAATGGGTAGAGATTAGAGGAATAATATTCTACAAAAGCCTGATGATCTACTGTCATCTACCTCTGATAAATGACCCTAGAAAATTTTTTGCTCATACATGTTAAGAAGGAACAAAAAAAAAATCCTCTCAAACTCACTTTTAAATAAATTAATTTAAAAAGCAATAGAAGTTTGAGATTTCAATTTATTTCTACCTTCTGTGCCTCGTTACAAAAATAGTTTAAAAAAAACAACTTGTACAAAAATCCATATTCAGATTTAATACTCAATCAATTTAAAATGACTAATTTCTTAAAATAACTTAAGTAATCAATCTTCTTAAACTTAAATGATAAATTTAAAATTTTAACCCCCAAAATTACAGATTCATCATCTTATCATTATTGCTAAATTTAGTAGCTGTTCAGGAACACAATGTAATACAAAGACGTCTTTTTTTATTTGTTTTAATTTTAAAACCAATTTTAAGCATTGGACTGTTATCTTTTGCAAAATGACTAAGGCAGTAATACACCTGGTATGATTGGTTAGCAGTTATTCAATCTCTGTCAATTATCTGTGTATATATCATTACGTCCATGGTAAATCACTGATATTATTTTTTACTTTATACTTCTATATGTGGCAGTTTTAATGTGTAAATTGAAAGAGACCAGACCATGTCTGGTACAGTAAAGTTTAGCTTTTCTAAAGGTTTTGATAAAGAGAGACAGAGTGGGGTTTTTGTGGTTTTGTTTTTTAGGTTTGTGAGGGGGTTCCTTGGGTCTTATCCAAGAATATCTGTCACAGGTTTGCAAAGAATTATATGTTTATCCCATATTATTAATGAAAAGCTTTTTCAAAATAATATCCCAACAGATTAAGTTTTTTTTCTCTTCCTCACACATGGTAGACAACTCCTTACCGAGTTTGCCTGGAATCAAAATATTAATTTTCTATTCTTTTCATTAAATTCTCATTCAATGTCAGTCTGTCAAAAACAACTGAGGCCTTGAAATAAACTTTGCACACAAAGTTAGAAATAAACTTTGCACACAAAGTTATTTATTAATTTTTTTATAATAAAAAAAAAAGATTACCTACATTGTATTTTGTTAATTTTAATAATTTGGTTTATCTTTACGGAAACTATTAACATTACCGGGTATTATGTTTAAAGTAATTTTTAAAAAAATCAGTTCATGATCAAAATAAAAACCCAGCTATTATGATGAGATAACTTATTTAATTCATAGACAAAATTATATGTAAAACTGCAAAAGTTTTACAATCTGCTTTGAGATGATCATACACCTAACTAATATATCAGATAGTTCAAAAGATTGTCATCCTTGCCCCCACAATTTTGTTAGTTCACAAGGTCTATGTTTTTAAGGCTGGGTCACAGTGAAGGATTCTGAGCTTCAATTTTGGGTGTTAACCATGGAAAGGCAAAGCTCATACAGAATATACATTTCGAAATTTCTAGTGGTATTGAGCCCATTCATTTATTTGCTTTTTATTTCCCAAAATTTAGCTTGAATTTTTTATTTATAAAAAATTAGCTTCATAATGGATTTTTTTTTTAACATTGTACACATTATATGGGCTTCATTAGAAAAAATAAAAGAACCTCCAAATGCGCCATAGTGGATAACAAGCCGCGAAGCATCCCATCCTCAAAACAGGACACAGTACCGGTATCACAAGGCATAAGCAGTCCGATTGTCAATGACATTTAATGTACTTTTTCTCAAAACACATCCATTTGAACAATATTATAACAATTCTAGCATGTTTTATTTTCTATAAACATCATTATTGTATGCTTTAATTTTTCACAATATTTTATTATGTATATACTGGATATTAAAAATAATTCAATTAAACATAATTTCTTTTAAATGTATAAATTATATTCTTCCATCAAAAGTGAGTCATCAGGGATCAATTCAAATAATTTACATTACATCAAAACAATCTTTGATTGCCAGGTCATCATGTTACTTGTATTACAACAAAACAGAGAAGGGGGTGGGGGGTATTTTTTCCCAACCTTTTATTACAACAGTTTACCATGACATGTACAAAAAATAAAATTCCTTTGGTTTCAGCTAAAAAATGAATACAGAAACTATTGATGGAAAACAACTCATAGCTGATAAAGTTACTTGTATATACCAATGGGGAGAAAACTGCTGGGTTCATTGCCATGTTTCTAATGAGATCATATGAAGATGTTTTTTCATGATTTAAAGAGCTCAAGCTTGCCAGGGCGGTACACATTTGAGGATCTAAAGTGGATGCAGTTTCAAAGATGCTCAAATTTAAGCCTTGAAGTCTTTTTTGTTTGTTTGCTATTCAATCAGTTTAAAAAAAAAAAAAATCAACCTAATTTATCATTATTTTTTCACCATGGTCTATTATTAAATTCAGTCTTTAGATAAAAATAATCATTAAGAGTGATCTAGAAACAGATCCCCCCCACAAATCATGTTTTTACAGACATGCACAAGTGATCAATCTTTTATTCTGCTGGGCAGTAATGAAAGAACTGCAGAAAACCCCCAGTCACTTTCCCCCAAAAAGTGAATTGTCAACTGCCAAGTGTGACATGTTCACTATTTATGTTGCCAAAAATATGAGTTTTCTCACATTTGGGTAAACTCACCACTTAACCCTCATCTTACATATTTCAATAATAGTTGTAAAAAAAAAATACTTAAAAAATATATTAGAGATTTGTTATTTGAAGTAAAGATTTTTCAAAATACATTGTTGAAGCATGAGATGGAATGTCTAAAGTTAATTATTGCCAGCTGCCATGGATGGTGCTATTTTAATTAGTGAATAAGTTAGTTGATGTTATTGACAATAAGACTAGAGATTGATTTTTTGGGGATGGTACAAAATTTCCCCAACATTAAAGACATTTAAATCAGCCCGAGTACAACTACAAAAAAAAAAAACACAACACTAGTACTGGTACTACACATTTGGTAATTGAAAAAATGGTCTCAGAAAATAGTTATTAAAATTAAAAGGGACAACCTTTCATTTTACTAAAGTGAATTTTAATAGGTCTATCACTATCATGGAATAAAATCCTTTATTGAGTAGACAGCTTTTTAGCATGTGCTCGTGTACAACAGCTTTCAGAACTGGAATAGGAGTATGGCATTTCAATTTTTAAATTTACCCAAACTCATTGGCAGAGAAGTATTTCATTCCAATTTGAGACAAATAAAAATAGCTATGTGTTTGCTGAATAATATTTGGCCAGTCGATGTTAAATATTTATGATAATATATGTATTGAGCCATATGACCAGGTTTAATTAATTTCTTTGGGTGGTTAAAAAATGAATTGACCTTCAAATTTTTAAAAATGTGTTTTTATCAAGGGTTCAGTGATACTCAGGCAGTTAAATAAGGACTTAAAAACCCCCCAAATAAACTGTAAAATAAATAAGTGTTATTTTTCAGCAAACCACACTCATCAACCATTCAATCAGTCATTTAAGTATTTATGATATTTCAAAAGAGAATAAGAAAACATAAACATATAATCTCTATTAATCATAACAATCATTTAAAAATCACTGGGGTGAAAATGCCATTAAAATTAATTTTCAAAAATATTATCTTATTAGAAACAAAACGGCTATTTCAGAAATTTAACAACTAAAATAAAATAAAGAATTGATCCTTCAACAAAAGAAACATAATATATTTTAATAGTTGGATGGAGGGAAACAAAATTAAATAATAAAATTTGCAGTAAAAAATACACTTTAAAATGTCTTATACTTACAGCTGGGGTATTACGAGAGTTTTGTGACAGCTCACGATAGTTTTCTTAAATTAATAATTATTTTAACAGAAATGACTTGAGTCACAGAATTTTTGAATCTACTGCAACCAAAGCTTCCAGAAATGGGTTTTTCAAAGACACCTAGAATGGTCTAACTGGCATTTTACTTTATTCTATCCTGAATATTATTTAGTTGTTCCTTAAGTAAAAACAAAATAATGTTAGTTCTCTTAATAGACAACATTCCTTAAAAAAGGTTGATAACAGAAACCAATAATTACACTAATAGGCAATGACTAAAACTTAATATCTAAAGCTCTGTCCTATTGTGTTTATTACTAGCTCTGAAAGGAAATTGTCTCTGTCACGCTGTCTTATTCGTACAATGTCTTATTGTCGACATTTAGTACCAAAAACTTGTAACACTAATTTAAAAATCTGAGCATTCTTAATGAAGTCATCAAAATAACAATGAATCCTATTCATGCATCCACTCAAAATTGTACAAATAATATTGTAAAAAGAAACAATCAACTGTGAATATGTATGAACATGACAAGAATTTCACCAGTGGAAAGGGAATGTTAGTTGTATCAAAATATAGGATTTCATGTACTATTTGTCTTGGGGAAGAAAAAAATCTGCAAAAGCCAAATATTACATAGCCATTTCAAAAGCATTGGAAATGTTATTTTAGTTGTTCATATATACAACCATGCTCAGTAGCGCTTATCTATCACAAGCAAAAAAAATAATTAAATCATTAAGTCCAGTATATTTACAAACAATGCCAAGAAAACTTCACAAATCAATTCACCAGCATTTAGAGGCCATCCACACAAACTGAGGTGAAATAGCCTCATAATGTTGAACATTTAATAAACCCCAATCACAGTTTTAACCAAGGTTAACAAGAAAGAAGCAGGTCTAGTAATTAATACACATTTTCAAACATTTTCTATTTCGAAATAATTGGTGTTATCTAATGTTTTTTTAAAATAGAAAAAATCAGTGATGAAAAAAAAATGAGTGCAAACATGTAATATAAGGTGATTTACTTTTTTTTTGCCGCTTCTAAGATAATCACTTCACGCTTAGTTTACAGTTGCTCTTTACCTTGGCAAGTAAATTCTCAGCTTAAAAAAAAAAAAAAAAAAAGGAGTAATGGGGAATGCTTTCTGATCACAATCCAAGTCTAAATGAAGAATAGTGTATGTGAAAATAAAAATCTGGATGAAATTTTACCTAAAAAGCCACACAGGTGAAATCTGGGTCACCAACTTAAACCTTAGCCATTGAAGCTATTCAAATATTTGGATATCCCCAATCAATTTCACAAAATTATGTTCATTCTGCTTTTAATTCTGAAACTTTTTACCTGGAAAATTAGGCTGATATGGCACAACTGTGATTTGAACAACAGGTTTTGCATAACTCTGCATTACACTTAAGTATTAAATACATTTTAGAAGATCTTTTCAAAATGCAACACACATACCATGTAAATATAAATGAACCAGGGTCACTCAGAAAAAAAAAATTAAATTAATAATACTATTGGTTGTAGATTGAGATTGGGGGCCAAATCATATGAACTGACTGATCAAAACTGGAATAGGCATGATGGCAGCCAGGCATTGACCATTGTAGAGAATCTCCCCAGATCCGTATTAGTCTTGCTTTATACTTCCACTATGTTCATTTCCAACAGGAAATTATAAAGATGTAGAAGAAATCCAAGCAACTGATTCAATGAACACACAATGATTTTATTATATATTATTTTTAAAAGATATCAAAGAAAACTGCTACCCCATAATACTATTTTTTCAGTTCTGCAGCCTCTCTCTGTGTCTCTCTCTCACACCCACACAGTGATTATTCATTTGATATGAGATTTCTAAACTCTTTTCACAACTTTAAATACTGATCAAAATATAGAAAAATCATAGCTTCTCAAAACAGCCAAAAACTATTATTTAAGTTAAATTTTCTGGCTGTAAAAAATGTTACAATAAAAAATAAAGATCATTTAAAAAAAAAAAAAGTCTAATAAGCAAATAATGTTCTCCAGAGCACGTAACACCAAAGGAATTTTTTTTTCAATAAATGGTTATATCTTATTAATTAAAAGTAAATATTTTACAATATGAAAAGCAAGTTTCTAAATTATTACATCATTATTATATTAAAAATCAGTAGTATTAAAACTGTTTTGAAATCAAATACTAGAGAAGGTGCCAAATCTAAATAAACAATATTACTCTACTGTCAGGTTTATACAAAGCTATTTAGAAAAAAACAAAATAATAAAAAAAAACAACTAGTGGTACAGTTTAAAAATGCAAGCAAAAAAAAAAAAAAAAAAAAAAAAAACAAAAGAAGCATAAAATTCTATATACACAAAAAAAAAAAAAAAAAAATAAAAAAAAAAAAAAAAAAAAAAAAAAAAAAACAAGTGGTAAAGTTAAAAAAAGAAAGAAAAAAAAAAAAAAAGAACAAAAAAAACGAAGGTAGCTTATGATTCTGTATACACACAAAAAATATTTTCGTATAAATTTATGCTTATGTCATGAACATTTAAAAAAAAAAAACACTATTGAGGCTATACTATTGAGCTATCTTATTTTCACCAGGGAATGTGGTTGTTAAAAAAATATATGAGGACATGAGATCACACAAAACAAGAAACACATCATGTGACATGGGTCAAGGTAGTTGTGGCAGTGCTTTCCTCTTCATTGCTTGGCTCAGTGTTTAAAGCTGTTAAACTCTGCATGGCTGGTGATAACTTGTGCTGAATACTTTGTATAAAGTTCTGCCAGGGTAGACGAAAACAAAAACAGTGTAGACGCAGATATTTCAACACACATAATCATTAAAATTTAAATTGTTATTTTATCCATTAGGTGCACATTCAAGAAGCCAAAAGTGCAAAGCTACACCAACATTGTACTTTTAACTGATCTGCAGAAATCATCATGGCTAATAAGTTTGCTTTCAACAGCAACAATATATTTACCTGTGAAATAACGTCTCCTTTCACACGCCTTGCTTGGTATAAATGTCGATATCGAGTCTGTTGTGTTTCTCGCTTTTCTCGCACTCTCATTTGCTGCAAATTAGCATTTTGTTCTCTTCGACTTCTAAGGGCTAGATATTGGTTAGAAAAACAAAACAAATATAAATATCATATTTTCACACTCAAAGAAAGGAGAGAAAAAATATGTCATTTTACTTTTAGGAAAAAGAGAAAAGGTCAAAATGTTGGAATATTTTTTCCCCTTCAAATTAAAAAAAAAAAAAACCCAATAATTATTGATGTATAAGTGACCAGCCACCCATTCCTCATATATTCCAAGTAAGTATTTTTTTTTATTTACACAGAAGAATAAACAAATTCAATAAAGGAACAACTTGGTCTAACAACAGTAAGAAAATATATTTTCTTCTCAGAAGTTGGGAATGAGATACTTTAATAAACTATAGGTGTTTTTTTTACCAACATACCCAAACGGTGGTCAAAGCCATGTCCTGTGATTTTAAACTGGACGACAGCACCTATAACTGCAAAGACTGGCCAGAGGGCCACCATCAGCCAACTGAACCAGCACAGTGACTGTTGATGCTCAGCAATAACCCTCTCCCAGATGTACTGTGCCATTTGAGAGAGCTCCACAAAATAGTCCACACCAGCTAGACCTATGGCTGCTCCAAACACACTGGTCCCTACCACTGTTATAGCCTTTTGGAACTTTAAACTGACAACACCGAATATAATTCCCAACACCATAAAAATCACAATGGGAATCCACAGGGATTCTTGATGTACAAACTGCTCCACAATTACAAGTATGACAGCAGCTGCTGCCACACCTAGGTTGAAGCCTGTTAAAAAAAGTCCAGCTTGTGGGATCAACATAGTGAAAAGGCCAAGGAGAATACCTGCTCCAATGGCACATCCTAGGGTGCCTTCTGGGGGTAGAATTTTGAATTCATTGAGGATCATATAAACCAGGATGGTACTAAATATAAATCCTGTGAGGAACATAATGGCTTTGAAGAATCTGTATCCTGAAAAAAAAAAGGTTTGAAGATAAAGTTAGTGCTTTAAATTTAGTTGCGTAAAGGGACGAGAGGGTGAGGCTGAAGAATTGAGCACTCTCCCTCACTTTAAAACAAAATACAGCCCAAGTCAAGGCTATAACTCAAGATGACTATTGCCTTGGTCATCTTTGCATGTGAAAGACGAAAAATAAATTATTGCATAAAGGTGGTTTACATGTTAACAAAATGGTATAAAACTTAATTTCAGCTATAACATTTTTTGACCTACAACATATTCTTTGATTTTAAAAACAACTTCGAACAGAATAATTTGGTGAAATGGCCTTAAGTCAGTTATTTTAGATGAATACAAATTTGTTATTAAATACAATCGCCTCTTCAACAACTACAAACTGACTAAGTGGTAATGGTAGCATTTTTATTTATCTCATGGAAATTTAAAAAAAAAAAAATGTTTAATTTTATATGTTTCAAATATTAGCAATTAGCAGTCTTTTATAATTCAAAAATCCAGTAGTATAAATTCAATAAACCTCTGCATATCTAATTAGACTGCTCTCACTGGAAAGAATTAAAACTTACCAAAAAAGGTATACAATATCCCAAATATGATGCAGGTAACTGCAATAATGCCAGTGACAATTCCATATTGTCCACTGATATCACATGCATTAGGCTCTGGTGTGGCAAATGAAGTGGAGCTTGTATCATTAAAAATTGAATCTGTTGTTGAAGCATTGACAAATGCATTGAAGAGAATGGCACTCTCTGTCTGGTTTGAAGTGTCCACCAGTGACATTGTTTCATCACTGGTGAACAGAGATCGTATACAAGTGATTATTTATGATGACCTAAAAATGTGTTTAATTCATTGGCTGAGTTTTTGAATTGATAGTTTTTAAAATCTGAAAGATAAAAAAAAGGAATAGAGAAAACATTAGAAACATTAGACATTTTAGACCCTATAAACTCATATAAATGCCATTATATTTATAAGACCCTAAGACTAAGGAAGCCCTAAGTAATACTAAGTTAAGTATAGTATAATAATTTTTGTAGTGTCTTTGTTCAATTAGCTCTTTCATGCCAGTGGATTTCTCACGTTTGTGCCAGACCAGTTTTCGGCCAATGGAAATATTTTAAGGTGCTCTTATCTAATAATGAATTTTGAACACACTTTTTTTAAAGCAAGATAGCTGTATTTCACATCAAATTAAAGGAGATTAGAAGATAGAGAATAATAATATATAAAAGATAAAACAACATGACAATAATAGTTTAAATTTTATTGATATTATGAGATAAGAAATTTTTTTTTTTTTAATGCACACATCTGAACTTATCAAACTACTATATGGTCTGTGTAGCTGGTTTCCTATTCTGTTTCAATCAACAGCATGTATATCCACTTTTTTATCAGAATGCATTGTAAATTTTGAAAATATTCCATTTACAGAGTAACACACATTTTTGTAATGTTAATGTCAACAGAAGAAAACAGTTTCTTTGAATATGTGTTTATATACACAAATGTCAAACACATTATTTACTAAATATTTTACTTTATTATAAATATCTTTCTGTGTGGTCCTTTCTGTAGCCCTCACATATATGAGGTCTTCCTATGCACCTGATGCACATAAAGCAGTCACATTTGGTTAATTTGTACACTGGACAGTTTACACACTGTCAATCATGCCCGTCATAGTCAACCAGGTGCTTATATTCACTGAGATGCACTGTTGATGGGCTTTTACCCTTGCTTTGATAGGGTGGGCACTAGGGGAATGAGTTTTTCAGGGTTCTTGGCTTTAGCAACTATTCTTCCTGCATCTTTTTTGTGTAATTTGCGATTTCTCTTAGTTGAAACAGGATAATTATTATCTCAATCCTCACTGTTGCTACAGTAAAAAAGTGGTTTTGAGGTCCTTAGTTAAAAAGTTCACAACTATTGAGCCACTAGAGCTAGAAAGTTGATCTTGGTGTTTTTGTAATTCATTCTCGAGGTTCTACACAGCTGTTTTTTTGTGTATATATATTTAAAATGTTCTGAAATTTTACCAAAGTGCTGTTTATCACTACTATTACAGCTTTTAATTTTAATGTTGGTTCTGACCATTATTATTTCATTATAATAGATAATAGCCTTGTTGATGTCTAGACCTTTCTGTCCTATTTATTACAAAGTGTCTAGACGTCCGGCACTCCGGACAAATAGTGCGCAAGATATACGTCCGGCGGCATGTCACGTGACCGCTGGATGGCTTAGTAGTTTTTATAATTCCGAACGAAGTGCAGTTTGGTAGATCTTGAGTGGTCTACTGGTAGTGGTAGAGTGGTCGCTAGACGATTTTATGATTTGAGGATCAATATCGGGGATAGGATCGTTTTTTTTCTTCCCGTTTTAATTAAAAATATTTTATACTATATTTAAATTATCATGTTCATCAGCAACAGTAGTTTAATGAGAAGTTTTTAAATATTTTGTAGCAACTTAAACAATTTAAAATGAAATCTTTTACTTTTATTGGTTGCCTACTCCACACTGGCCCCTAATTTATTTTATGGATTACTGGTACACAAACTCAAATAACAAACTAAACAAAAATGTTTACAAGCCACTTTCACTTCAGTTTTTTTCTACGAAGTGGATGCGTACACTGCGGCGGTGTACCTAGCGAAACCATCGGCTTTGGCCTGCGTTAACCGCGGCGGTGTACCTAGTGAAATCGTGGGCTTTGGCCTGGGTACACCGCGGCAAAAATTTACCATTGGCCTGGTTTTAAGATATACTTGTTAGAGAAGATCTTGTGTGGTCAAGTGGTAGAGTGGACGCTTGGCGATAATATAGTTTGAGATCAATTCTCAGTAGGGGATCGAGGTTTTTTCCTCCCATTTTAGTTTTAAAATATTTTGTAGCAATTTAAACAATTTAAATATATGTTTAAATATTATATTAAATACACTTTATATATTTATTTACGGTATATATATAAGTGTTTCAACAAGGTTTGCCGGCCTTTGACTTTGAAAATACCGGTAAATTTAGTAATAAGACTTTAGACATTTGAAAACAAACTTAAAGTTTCTGAAAGCGCATGTAATACATGATGATCATGTAAAGTGTATGTCAATGTAACATGTATAACAGAAACATTATGAATACCAAGTGACTGATATTCTATTGTATTTCAACATTCTTCGTGTAGTTGAATATTTACATTTTACTTTTACGAACACCCAAAGAAAATACCAGTATGAATAATATTCATACCATATGAATATTAATGTGCATGGTCGTATTTCAACCTTGAACCATCTTGCTTTCACTATGTCTTATGCATTGGCAAAATGTACATACGATATCAAAGGTTCATTCACAACACTCAGTCTCACAGCAAATCTTTTGAAAACACCTCGATTTTAGAAAATTGCGGAGCGCTAGCAAACTGTATAGCAAAGCCATAGGTCTGCGTTTATCCTTTTCATGACGGAATTTGTTTCCAGAATAGCATGGGATGTGTTATTCTCAGGGTAAAACACGACGTTTTCTCACAGAAACCATTGCACAATTGGCCTTGGACATGATTTGCACTATGTCAATGTTTTTGTATTTGTTGTTTTTTTGTTAAGAAATCGATCCTTGCCGGGGAGTGGGGGGTGGAGGTGAGTTATGGGCAGAGGCTTAACCAAAAAGGGGGCATTCACAAATCACGGCTCTGTATGGGGTTGTCCACAAAGGACGTCCGCACAACAAACTTACCTTTTGCATCACCCCCCTCCGCCAGCATTTTTTACTAATGTGTAATGCCAATGTAAAACTAAATCAATGATATTTAATTATTGTTAAAAGACTTTTAACAATCACTGCAGTGTTTCGTATTTATCATCTTACTGCTGTTTTGTGTTGACACACGCTTGGTATCACAATGACAATGCCTCGGACAACTTTAACTTGACGATTTCATGATCAATGTATGAGTATGTGATTCTCTTCCCGTAGTGTATGTGTGGCATAATTATATCTTTGTGCTAACAAAATAGATTCACTGGCTTCCCATTCATTTTTACACCACACCCCGAGGGATCACATACAATGTAATATTTAAAAATTAAATTTTTAAAGCCCCCCCCCCCCATAAAAACAACAACTGGGTGGGGGGGGGGGGGGCATGAGAGAATAATTTCAAATTAGCTACCCTTTTTATGCCTATTAGGATTCACAATCATATGATAAAACTTTCAACAATTAATAAATATATTTGTATTTCAATATGTTTGGGGAGGGGGGAATAATGTGGTTAACTTTAAAAATAAATCACGGTTTAACATTACACCCCCAGCCCCCTCCCTTCCAAAAAATAATAAGAAATGCTTTACATGTACTTTGCCTCATAAGTGTGGAACTTACTCAAAATCTTCCCAAGGTATTAAACGAATTTTACAGAAATAGTTTTCAGTTTGAACAAGAGTATAACATTAAATCTACAAGTACCGGTTAGGCCAAAAAGTTAAAGACTCGCAAAGACCATAGTTTTGCTACTTTAAATCCCTGCGGTGTACGCAGCCATGATTTAGCTAGGTACACCACCGCGGTGTACGCAGGCCAAAGTCAATAATTTTGCTAGGTAAACCGCCGCGGTGTACGTAGGCCCGGCCTTTTTTCTATTATTTAATTATTTGCATTCAAGATACTCAGTACATTACTTGGCAGAGTAAAAGATTTTAAAATTAATAATAGTTTTGAATCATTCGCTGACAACGTGACAAGGCTGACCGACAAGTTATCTTTCGCCACTTTGTTACGGCGGTCATGTGACTTGGTCGCCGGACAAATAGTGCGGGAGATATACGTCCGGATGTGCCTTTATAGAGTTAGTGTTAAGTAACTGTTATGTGTTAGGCCTAGGCCTAGGCTGAATCAACTCTTCACTGGGAAATGAAATGTTTCTTAATTATGTTTGCAGTTGTGATTACTTCACTTTTTTATGAATGGAGTCTGGTAGTAAAGGCCCTTGTTTTGAGTCGTAAGTATGCTACCGTCATACTTCACTCACATGTTTTTTATACCTAAGTTTTTAGTCATTTAGGCCTACCAAATTACTTTGTTTTAAATTTGGCCTGCTTTATTTAATCACATCCTCCACTAATTTCAGTGACATTTTCAACCATTGACTGCGTCTTGTTGCACACAGAAAATCTAATTAACGTTACAATAAATTAGTTTATTAAATAATGAGAATAAAATAACCTCTTCAACTTCGTTTAACTTTGCCCACCATAAGATCTTTTTTCCCCCAAGCTCTTCTTCGTATCCAACTAAGCAAAATTCATTCACCATCACTTATCAGAGTATCAGCTATCAAAATATACAGCCTCGATCTCACAACTTCCGTTTTCCGGTAACAGGAAAGAGATAGCTGTTACAGTTATTAATAGATTAATTTAAAATTTAAATCTCCCTTTAATAACCAATAAAAGATGACAATCTTATAAAAGATGACAATCTTTTAAGAATCTATTATGCACTAGCGAGAACCCGGCATGCGTTGCAATGCCACTCAAAGAAAAAAAAAAGTGTTCGTGTTTAGATTACGTTTTTGAAGTCTAATTTTAAATCGAAAATATTTTTTGTTTTTTCCGGTCTGGTGCATACACAAATAAATTTGAAGGTTTTTCGACGCGCGAGCTGGCCACATGCATCTGTCAACGTGAGAACATGGCTTTTCAAAATGTAGTTCACACACTTGTAGCGATTGAACCACTCACGCAGTAGCTCTGTTTTAAAACATATTTAATTTATATAACTCACATTTTAAAAAAATAGCCCCGCCCCAAACACAAAATTGTAATATGGTTGTAGGCCTACTAATTCAGAGACCTGCCTATTATGTCACACACAAACTG